TAGCTTGTGGCCTGGGAGAATTGCCAATATCAAATGAGAGGGACGACAAACTTTCCAACATCACGGGAGAAACATTTTCCGCTCAGAGCCTCAGAGTGCAGCATGGCAAGGGGCAGCAGCACCCAGCATCTGCAGGCATTTGGGTTCATGAGAACATGAAAAGCAGGCATAGCAAAATGTTGAAAAATGTGTAGTTTAGACTTTACAAAAAAATGGCAAGTATATTACTTTTAAGTACACAAATTGACTCAAGCTAGCCACGGTGAGTGCTACCTTTGAGGGGTCTTGATTTCATGAGGGATTATTCTAGCTCAAATATGACTACCCTGTTGGCATTAATGGTTTTTTTCAGATATATCTAAAAGCAATTCAGTTTCTTGAGGAGTAAACTTGTCTTTGTTTTTGTTACACGTTTTAGGTTAGACACTGGAGTTTCGAAGAGCCCAGGGAAGTGACTTTTGCATGGGCCTTTTGCAGATGGCTGCTGGCGGACCCCATGCTCTGGGTGGCTGTGAGGACAGTGGTGAACAAGGGCCATTTGTGAGGATGCACCCAGCCAACCTCCTCTGCAGGCTCTGTTTGCAGATGTTGATTCACCGACAGCCTATTGGGCTCCGGGAGGACCATCATTCCCCATAACTCCCACACACAGCATTGACTGGTTCCTGCTGGAAGGCACCTAGAGTCTAGGTGGGGGTGGCTTCTGCAGACAAATCAGCAAGACCATGTGACAGGGACCGCAGTATAAGTGACCACAGGGCACATGGGAGTGGGGTACACAGGGAGGGAGCAGTTTGCTCTGCTGCAGTGGAAGTGGGGGCGCAGGGGTGCAGAGGTGCATTTATCGGTTTGAATTTTGAAAGAGGAATTGGCTGAGGAACTCCCCAGCCCCAGGGAGAACATTGATCTATTAATGAGGGGTCTACCCCATGACCCAAACTCCTCCCGTTAGCACCCCACCTCTGACTTTGGGATCAAATTTCAGCATGAGGTTTGGCGGGGCAAATATCCAAACTGTAGCAACATCTGTGTGTGGGAAGGTAAGAGCATCCTTTTTTATTTTTTTCTTTGAGATGTGGTCTTGTTCTGTTACCCAAGCTAGAGTGCAATGGTGTGGTGAGACACAGCCTAGTTCTGTCAACCAAGCTAGAGGACATATCACTGCAGCCTCAACCTCCTGGAGTCAAGCAATCCACCCACCTTAACCTCCTGAGAAGCTGGGACCACTAGTGAGTGCCACCATGCCTGGCTATTTTTTTTTTTATTGTTTGTTTTTTTTAAATAGAGACGGGAAAAGGATCCAAGATGAAGGGGCAATGAAGGGCTAGGCCGCTGGATGTGAAGCTGTGTCCTGCCTTTAGGGGCCTGTGTGGATAGGGTGGGATTGCATAGTGATGGCATGTGAGTATCTGTGTGCGGGGAGTGTATGTTGAGGGGGAGGATCTTTCATCTGGGATCACGACGGATGGAACCAGACTGATAGCAACAACAGGAGCTATGATGGTGGGTGGTTTTTATGCCCCTGCAGATACATGGATTTTATCCTACTGACTGTGAGAGTTTCAGAGGTAACACAGAGTTCTCATGTATCTTTCCTCCAACTCCCCTACTATCAAATCTTCTATTACTTCAGTATATTTGTCAAAGCTAAGAAATTAACACTGGCAATACCATTAACTAAACTACAGCATTTGTTAAGGTTTCATCAGTTTTTCCTTTAAGAATCTTTTCCATGCCAGGACCCAGCCAGGATCCCATCTGCATTTAGTCCTCATGCCTCCTTAGTCTCCACCAACCTGTGACAGTTCCTCAGTATTTCCTCAGTCTTTCATGACCCTGACACACTGGAAGACTACTGGCTGGGCACTTGGCAGAACGTCTCCCAATCTGCATGTGCATGATGTTTTCTCATGATCAGAGAGAGGCTATACACTTTTAGGAAGAGTTCCACAGAGGTGAGGCACCCTCCTCAGCATCTGATCATGGGTCTGGGATGTCCACAGGACTCACCACTGGGAATTTTAACCTGGATCGCTGTTGAAGGTGTGTGTGTTTGTGTGTGTGTGTGTGTGTGTGTGTGTGTGTGTGTGTGTGTGTGAGATTTCTTGACTGTAAAGTTACTATAGTTCCCATTTTGATTTTGGAGGAGATACTTTGAGGTAATGTAAAATCATTTTCCTCCTTAAACTTTTTCCCATGGGTTTTAGCATTCATTGGTGGCTCTTGCCTGCAACAATATATTTTTTTGAGAAGAAGTCTTGCTCTGTCACCCAGGCTGGAGTGCAGTGGCATGATCATGGCTCACTGCAACCTCCTCCTCCTAGGTTCAAATGATTCTCCTGCTTCAGCCTCTTGAGTAGCTGGGATTACAGACACACCATCGCACCTGGCTAATTTTTTATTTTTGCTAGAGACAGGGTTTCACCATATTGGCCAGCTTGGTCTTGAACTCCTGACCTCACGCGATCTGCCTGCCTTGTCCTCCCAAAGTGCTGGGATTACAGGCATGAGATACTGCATCTAGCCAACAATTTTTACCGTGGTGTTCCTATGGTGATTTTCTGGTTCCTTCATCTCTTCTACATTTATTAAATGGATTTTTTGTAGGAAAGATTTGCCAAATATTTATTTATAGAATCATTTATTTATAACAGTGTTCACTCATGGATATTTATTTGAACCTTTGGGTGACAATCCAATATCTTCATCATTATGGCTTTGGCATCTCAAATGCTTTCAGCTTTGGACATTGGCTGCTCTTTCTGTTTGGCTTCTATGCTTTTTTGATGTGCTCCTGCACATCTGTCCATCCATCCATCCATCCATCCATCCATCCATCCATCCAGCTGTCCATCCATCCACCCGTCCATCCATCTGTCCATCTATCCATCCATCCATCCATCCATCCATCCATCCATCCATCCATCCATCTGTCCATCTGTCCATCCATCCATCTGTCCATCCGCCCATCTCTCCATCTGCCCATCTGTCCATCCATCCATCTATCTGTCCATACATCCATCTATCCATCCATCTATCTGTCCATACATCCATGTATTTACTTACTTATTTTTGAGCACTTTTTTTACTCTATGGCACCACAATATACTGCATACTTGTCTTATCTTTCCCTGCCCCTAGCTAGAATTTTGTTTTCTTAAACAAAGAGTGGCGTGATAAGAGACATACTCAGAAAGTCCACTTTGTGGAGGACAGAAGAGTGTGTAGAGGGGGCAAGAGTCGCTATGCTCAAGCTGGAGCCAAGGCTGGGTGACAGGGTGGCAGAAAATGCGAGTGTGGCTGGGTGGTAAGAGCGCAGCATCGATCATTTCCCTGCCGGGTAGGGTGCTTTGTCTGTGGGAATCCTGAGGACAGGTGGATCCTGCGCCTTCATGGGATGGGAAATACAGTCGGGCTGGGCTTGGCATTCTCGGCTTCCAGCAGCTATTCTCTCTTTTGGGTTCTCAGCTCTCTTCTCTTTCTTCTCAGCTGTGGGGTGGGACGGGGGCGCTCTTTTGAGGAAGAAAGCGAGGCTTCGTTCAGTGTTGTCTCTGCTTTCAGCGTGGTCTTCTTTCAGTGTTGGCGCCCCTCCTTTCTTATCAGGGCGGAAATGAATGGGCTGGCTGCTTGCTCGGCAGACCTGTCTTGTCTGAGTGGTGTGAGGCTGACATTTCTTCTTGCTCTGCCAGCTCTGTGATAGGAGCCGAGAGATGAATATCACAGCGAAGGTAACTGCTCTCAGGAAGCTGACGATTCTAGGTCACAAAATAAACAAGTGAATAAGCAATCCAGCGGATTCCAAAGAGTGGGCTAACGTGGAGTCATGTGATGAAAAGGGAGGGGTTCATTTTGATCAAGTAGTTATCGGAGAGTCCCTTAAAGAGGAACAGTTGAGTGAAGATCTTCATGAAAGAGCTATGTAAAATCCAAAAAGCCACAGAAAGCTACCAACCATCTGCTGATTGAAGACCTATAAAATAAGAGGGTTTATATTTAAATTTGCAGCATCTTTACATTGCAGGCATTTTATTATTAAATTGCTTCTGTTTTATAATGTAAGCTCCCGGTACCATCTGGCTTCATCCTAATCTAAATTTAGTCCACTTCCCACTGAGGCACACGCATGTGCACACATGACCACACATGAACATGTGCAGGTATTTCACTTGTCACAGTGGCTTTGCCTGAACATGCCTGCTTCATGCCTTTGTACACACTGTTCCCTGTCTATGGAATATCTTTCTTCCCTCCTGTGTCTGCAAGCTCACCTCAAGTGTCACTTCTCTCCTGTGACTCACTCACTGAGAGCAGCTGCACAGAGACAGGGCATGACTTTCAGCTGTGCATTCTCCTGGCATTTATGTTGCTGCAGTCCAGGTCTCAACCCTGCCCTTGCCCAAGGTTGTCTAAATTCAAAAAGAATTACAAATATGACTGGCACAGTCAATTTCCTTATTTATGAACTCCTTCTAGAGGCCAGAAGTCTTACAAGCTCTGACTGTCCCAATTTAGGGCAATTTTTGGAATCAGCATCTCCTCAGTACTGAAGATTTTTATTTGCTTTTCCATCTCCTCTCTCCATCCCCCTCTACCTGCTGTGCTGGAGAAGGCTGACTATCATGGCCCAATTCTCCAAGGTTCTCTTGCCCTCTGCCTTCCTATTGGGTTTGGCCAGTGGCGCTGGAAGATGGTCTGCCAGTTCCCACCCATGAGGTCCTGGTACCATGGTGAATTTCTGCACTGAAGGCCACAGTTTCGTTGTGTCCTCTGTTGTCAGTTTCTCTTAACTCTGTCCACACCTCTGTAGGTGCTACCTTTCCTCACTTGACTTGTTGCTCATACTTAAACAAAGAGTATCCAGATTTAGATATTTGAGAAGCCAAAGTATAATAAAAATAATAAGCAATTATTATAATAAAACTAATTCCAGAAAAAGGAGTTCAATTGTTTTAAGGAACATTCCATCAAGTCCTTTATTTTCGTTTTCTATTGCTGCACAGCAAATCACCAAAGACTTGACAGTTTGAAACAGCATCCACCTATTATCGCAGAGTTCTGTAGGTTGGAAGTCCAGGCGTGGCTTAGTTGATCTTTCACCTTGGGATCTCTTGAGAGTGAAATCAAGCTGTTGGCTTGGCTGCTTTATTATCTGGAAGTTCTGGGTAACAGTCTGTTTCCCAGCTCATTGAAGTGGATGGCAGAATTCAGTTCTTTGTGTTGTAGGATGGAGGTCTCCATCCTGTCTCAGGCTGTTACATGGGGGCTGTTCTCAGTGCCGGGAAGCAGCACCTTTTCTTGCTCCACAGCCTCTCTGTCTTCAAAGGCAGCAATGGGGAATTCCTCTTGCGTCAAATTCCCCTCAATTCTGAACATCCTTCTCCAGGGACAGCCACATACTCTTAGGGGCTCCCCCAGTGAGGTGAAACCTGCAAGAACCATCCCCCTTACTTAAAGCCAACTGTGCCACAAAACATGACCTCACCACTTGAGTGATGTCCCAGCATCTTTGTAGGTCCTGCACACGCTGAGGAGGAGGGGGTTCCACAGGGAGGTTTTTTGGATCATTGCTGGTCATTTTATAATTCTCCCCACACAGTTCCAAAAAGTCCTGATGGACCATCAATTGTTTTCTTCTGCAGTGGAAAGAAAATGTGTGTTCTTTATGTTCTAGGCCTTTCCTTTGAAAAGAAATGGACAAACCAGGCTGCCTTCTGGATCACAGCCTTAGCCTTTGTGTGTGTGTCTAGGATTTCCCTGGAGGCATGTTGCTATCCTGGGAGGTATCTGGAAAGGTGGGAGATGGTTTTTGTTTTCATCACTACTGAGCGAGCTGCTGGCATTTGGGGGCTTTGGCCAAGGGTGCAGACCACTCCCACCATGCGAGGGAGAGTCTGATCAGGACTTCTGCCTATGTGGTTTTGTAGGAGAGGACACTATATGGTGAATTAGGATTTTGCTAACAGAATTATGTTCCCATTCCAGCTGACTCCAGGACAATACCCCCAGCTCATGCTTTTGGCAAACACTTTTGTCTGTCTTTGCACAATATGTCCATTTTTAGATAATGAGTGGGCTCTGGGAACCTTGATTTAGAAAAAGCCCTTAGGTGACATCAGTGACAGAGAGCTGAGACTCAGGCTGTGACAGAGAAAATGATGCTAGAATAGTCTTTGCATGGCTGCTGGGGGAAGGCTGGACCCACCGCTGGCAACGCTAAGTCCTGGAAGGCGAATGTGGTGCTTGGATAGGCTGACCCCTCCCCGTTTAAAATAGCTTCTCTCATTTTGAGGGGACCCCCAAATCCAGTGCATGGATGAATCTTCTAGATTTTGCTTTTACAGCCTCTCTTGAATCTGTCTCCCGCTTTCCATGGACACTTCACCTCTTGACCTGCAGCTCCTTCATAACCTCACACGGCATGTCAGCCACCATCCTAATCGCACCTGCTTATGACTTGCCCTGATGCTTCATTTTGTTTCTCTTTCCCAGGCGAGGGTCACCCCAGTTAATTCTCCATTCTGACAGTCTCAAGTCATGACGTCAGGTTAGCGATCACAACCCTTTAGGCCCACCTTGTTTCAAAATCCTTACAGGCAAGAGCGAGGCCTCTCCCATGTGCTTCCAGACCAGCTGTTTGGTACTGTCCCTAAGCCCAGCCATCACCCCGCTATTCACACCGGCTTTTCTGGGCTTGCTTTCTCCTTTGCTGTGCTTAATCTGGGTGTTTTCCTTAAAATGTAGCCTCTTGTCTTTGCTCATCGAAGTGGAACTCATTCTATAGGCACCTTACTAAAGACTTTGTTATTCACTAAGCTGTAAACATTTTCCTGAAAAGATGTCATTTGTCCCTGGCTGAGGTGGGGAGGTACCCGCTTTCCTTCTTTGAGTTTTCCTGTGTGCTCACTTCCATCAGGCATCATGCCTGGCTTCTCCTGCACAGTTTCTCAATCAGCATTTGCAGGGCTGGATTTCTTGTGTGGTTGCCACAGGGCTCATAGAGTTGAGTGTTGCTAAGTATATAGGTGGTTCTTTCCTTCTCTGAAGACTTTGAAAATAGGACATGAGACATATGTGGCATCAACAGAATAATGTATGCAAATGTCAGGGCTGCCCTAACTCTGCCATATCACGACGGTGCTGCGCTTTCAAGGGATAGGGATTTTCCCCACTTGTAAGCACCCTCAGACAGAACTCACATTTGTTATCTGTTTTTCAGTTCCCAAGGCAGTGTAGCATATGCTGTCTATTTGGTGCTCTTTATAACTACTCCATGGGAGTTGTATCATATGAATAATACATAGGAATAGTATCTGTTGTGCTGTATTTCCTACATACTCAATATTGCTTGGCATGGAAGACCTTTATCATCATGGAAAACTAATTACACAAAAAACTCAGTATCATAGTCTATATCACGTCTTTCTTCCCAAATCTGGCTGGAGCTATAATAGTCTATACAAATACAGCATCTGTACGTGTCACATAAGGATACATCACTTTTACTCAACATATATTCCCAAAATGGACGTGTCTCTAACCTCAGCTCTTTGCAATTGAGATGGGAGAAACTGCTGGCTTCTGTTTACTGATGTCATTCTTGAGGAATAGCATAGCCTGGGAGCCAGGGCCTCTATAATCTTTCACACGTTTCTTCCCTTACACGGCTGGTTAATATGGGAGTTAAAGATTTAAATTTTTTCTGCAGGTCTCCATTTGTTTCACAAAGGAACAAATATCCAAAGACCCTGCCTAAGTTTTCATGTTGGGACATCTCTGGGGAGTGTGTGAGGAGCAGAGGGGAGCCCGCTTCCAGCCACCATGGAACATACCCATATTCCAGGCTACAAGTGCTGAGAAAGAGATCTCTCCCACCTGCCACCGTTATTGGAAGCAACGGGGCTGTGGTGCAAAGTCATTTTCGTCTTAAATGAGTCCCTTTGTTTGCTGGGCTTGCGCTAGCTGGAGTGCTGCATCAGGCCACGTTTGTGAGCTTGCTGTTGGGGTTCAACAAGTGGGGGCTACATGAAACTCTCCTGGATCTTCTCCAGGCAGCCCCGGGGGCTCTAGGCCTGGTGTCTGGGCAGTGCACCCCCATGTCTGCTGCTCCTTGTGTAGGTCGGTTTCTCAGGAAGAGGGTTTGTACACGGTGTTTGCTACGGAGGGCCTACGGGATCACCAGCTGGAGAAGGGGGAAGGAAGCAAGACTGGACAGAAGGAGAAGCTGGGCTCTGACACAGGCCTGATGGAGACGTTGGTCACCTCCACGAGGCTCTGGAGCTAACTGGCCCATCAGAGTTGTCCTGACTTAGCCGGTAGTTCCTAACCCTGCCTTGATCAGGTGCCAGTATGAGCCTCCTTTAGAAAAGGCATGCTCTCGGGTGAGGAGGTTCCTATATTACTTTGTTTTCACAGTGCCTATAAAGACATACCCGAAACTAAGAAGAAAAAGAAGTTTAATTGGACTTACAGTTCCACATGGCTGGGGAGGTCTCAGAATCATGGTGGGAGGTGAAAGGCACTTCTTGCATGGAGGCAGCAAGAGAAAAATGAGGAAAAAGCAAAAGTGGAAACCCCTGAAAAACCCATCAGATCTTGTAAGACTTATTCACTATCACAAGAATAGCACAGGAAACACTGGCCCCCATGATTGAATTACGTCCCCCTGGGTCCCTCCCACAACACGTGTGAATTCTTGGAGTTAAAATTCGAGCTGAGATTTGGGTGGGGGCACAGCCAAACCATATTAGTTCCTACAGCTGGATCCATCCTTGAAGAAGCAGATGAAAGTTGTGTGCCAGCAAGTCCTTTTGTGGAGAGGTGTCTAAACTGTGCCATTATTTCCATCATAGCTTCCCTCCATACCATCCACTCAGTGTGGTTGTGTTTCCCCACCAGACTCAGAACGTGTCTTAGACCACATTATGCTGCAGTAACAAGAATCCCCATCTCTCGGTGGTTGCAAGGGTTACTTCTTGCTTATGCCAAATATCCAGCGCAGGTTACCTGTGCCTCTGGTTTGCAGCCTCTTTACTCTGAACCCCAGCTGACATAAGACCTGACCTTGGACATGGCTGAGCTCCACCAGAGAGAAAGGAAGTCCACACAGCCATGCCATGGCTTTGAAAGCTTCAGTTCAGAAAGGCCAATAGATTTCCTCCGACATTTTATCAGCCAAAGCAAGCCACACAATCATGCCTGCTGCCTGTGAAGAAAGGAGTGTAATCCTCTCACAGGTTGGGTGCAGAAAGGGGTCAGTGACTATTTTTATAATAATATGTTCTACAGGGAAAGCACGGTGGCCATTGGGCACTTGACGTTGAGCTAGAACTCACAGAAGTAAGACAGCCCTCAAAGGACATACACACGTTTGTGATTTAAATCACATTTTCATCCTAAATGTGGAAGAACTAATCAGAACTCTTTCAGCCAATGGGCAAGAAGCAGAGCAGAGCTCAACTGGAAGTAATGCTGTACTGAGAGTGACCTGTTCATTCTGTCTTTGATTCTCTGACTTTTCTTTCTTCACATGAGGTATTTGTATTTGTTTTTCCTTCTTTTCCAAACCTGCTTTCAAAAAAAGCACTTGACAGGCAATGGTCTTTAACCATGACCTCTAGCAAAAACAAACAAACAAACAAACAAACAAAAAAACAACAAAAAAAACTTTTTCTGTTATAATTTGGTACACTCAAAAACTAAAACAAAATCTTTACATCACTGTACTTACTCTTGCTACAGATGCATTTTAATATTTCCTATTCTATCCCAGCCTATCCTCTGCAAAATTGCTAGTTGTGACCAATAAATTGATGAATTTTATAGACCTCCAATGGTTTGTATAATTTTCTATGCTTTGCTGTGAAATTTTTATTTATGATTTTTATTATGCTGATGTAGTTATCTTCTAATCCTAGTTTGTAGAGTGGTTTGATCACTAAAGACTGAATTCTTGTTCTCTTTATTTGAGATAATTACGGGGTTTTCCTCTTTAATTCTACTAATGTCGTATATTACCTTGATTTCTGTATGTTGAACCACCCTTACATTTCAGAAATGAATCCCACTGGGTCATGGTGATTTTTTTTTTTCTGAGACAGAGTTTTACTCTACTGCCCAGGCTGGAGTACCGTGGCTAGATTTCAGCTCACTGCAGCCTCCGCCTCCTGGGTTCAAGCAATTCTCCTGCTGCAGCCTCCCGAGTAGCTGGGACTACAGGTGCCTGCCACCACACTCAGCTAATGTTTTGTGTTTTTAATAGAGATGGGGCTTCACCATGTTGACCAGGCTGATCTCGAACTCCTGACCTCAAGTGATCTGGCCACCTTGGCCTCCCAGAAAAAAAAAAATTGTATGTTGATCTTTGTATGTTGAAGTACCCTTATATTTCAGAAATAAATTCCACTGGGTCATGGTGAAAAATAATTTGCCATACACTGGGTGGCTTAAAACAATAGAATTTGATTCTTTCACAGTTATGAGACCAGAAGCCTAAATCCAAGGGATCATCAGGGACGTGCTATCTTTGAGGGTTCCAGGGAGCATCCTTGCCAGGCTGCTGGTAGTCCTTGGCTCATAGCTGTGCCACTCCAGCCTCTGTCCCTGTTATTGTGTGGCTTCTTCTGCAGTTCTTCTCCTCTTGTAAAGACACCAGTCATATGGTATTATGGCCACTCTAACAGCCTCATCTTAACTTCAACCCAGTAGGGTCATAATTAAAAATTTGCAAAGAGCAGCTTGTGAAGGTAAAATGCCTGATACTTAAGGCTACTACTGTTGCAAGTTATCATTTCAAAAAGGCTCAAAATCTCAACGTAAAGAAATGGAATTCCACCCTTTCAGTTTTAGCAGTCCTTCATAACCCCCAAAGATGAGTTAGTAATGTTAGGTGGGTTGCTAGGCAGACATGCAGGGTAGCACAGCCTCCCATCACTCCCCGGGATGTCAGGCAGCCATCAAGTGATGGTCAGGCAGTTGTTAAACTGTCTTTCCAAAATAACAATTGGTTGTAGCCAGCACCAAGGAAAGGCAGTCTCCCAATGAAGAGAAAACACCTGAAGTTGATAATCAACAGCTTCCCAATAAGATCTCAGGACTTGGGCAAGCGCACTCAAGCATGCGTGCTAAGAGGCAAAATGGCAGAGTTTAACCAGTATATGATCTTCCTCTAAGAACACTCAATTGGTAAGGAAAAAGCACCTCTAATGAGCATACTCACAACTTCAGTAAACACACTGCACCCAACCTTTCAAGTTGCTTACACCCCATCCCAAGGAAAAAAATCAAGGGAGAAGAAACATGAATCTCGGAACCATGCCAATGTGTAAAACCCCCAGGCCAAGGGTTGGATGGAGTGCTTGGATCTCTCAAGCCACCCACTGGGCTCTCTTCCAGTTCTACTTTACTTCCTTTCATTCCTGCTCTAAAACTTTTTAATAAACTTTAACTCCTGCTCTAAAACTTGCCTTGGTCTCTCACCCTGTTTTAGGCCCCTGGGCCAAATTCTTTCTTCCAAGGAGGCAAGAATCAAATTGCTGCTGCCCCATACAAATTCACTGCTACGAACAGTAAGTCACCCCTCTGAGCAGAAGCAGTTCGTCTGAGCAATGCTTGGACTTCCTGCTGGATTTTGCCTACCCCTGGCTCGTAAAGAATGACGTTGGCAGCTCAACCCCTGAACTCAGACTCAGACTCTGAGTCACCTGCAAGAAGATTGGAGATATTCTGGGGTAGGCTGGTCTTGGAATATTTTCAATAATCCCAAATGTCTCAAGTCAGAAGCCCAAAAGTAAACGTCTTGGAAGCTATGTCCTTGAGATACTTCTCTTACAGAAGATGTCTTCAGCTCCTTTAGATTCAAACAGGCAATTTACTGTCAGACTTTGTTTCTGCTGAGTGCATTAAGTTCACTGAAGAAGAGTGAGGCAAAACCAGGAAGTCTTTTCATATTCCAAATAAAACTTATCAGTAATATTCCAAGGGAGGACAAATTCAAATGACTCCCAAATTGTTGAAACACAGAGCTGACACTATATATAAACACAGTTTGAGACAATCATTATGTTTGCCAGCTCTCAAAGAGCTTGAACTGTCAAGTTCCTGTTGTTTCTGTCTGAATGAGTGACATTTACCACCTTTAAACACTGGGATGAAGGAGGAACTGTATATGCCTCCCAGGGTAATGCCAGGCACCATGAAATTGCCAATCAGAGTTATTATTGCTCCCATCCTCTGAATTTTCTTACATTGGTGTAACCTTCCATTTTCACTAAAAACGATTCTCTAAGATTAACATCAGATTGATAACTTTTAGGTAGCTTCCATGCTGAGGTAAAATTTTTAACTGCTCATCACAAAGAATTCTTCCATGTGTTGCAATAAAATTGAATTAATCCTTGTTCAAATCAAATAAATACTTTTTTTTGGACAGATTTAAACAAAATAAACATGCATGACCACAGCCATTTATGTATAACCATAGTTGTGAAACACCTTTGAAATTATTTCATTTGAGATAATTGTAAGGACTTAAGGGGCTAAACAATTGTCTATATCCTTACAGTTATATTTCTAACAGCTTCATAAAGAAACTTTAAGAAATAGTAAAATAGTGACTCCCATATAAATATACAGAACTTACATCAAAATGTAATCAAAGATTCCCAGTTGTTTCCCTTCCCAATTGGGTGTCCTTAGAGGAAGGTCATATACTGGTTAAACTTTGCCATTTTGCCTCTTAGGATGCGTGCTTGAGTGTACTTACCCAAGTCCTGGGGTCTTATTGGGAAGCTGCTGATTACCAGGGGTCCATTTCACAAGTGATGGACCCATTCCCAGGGATGAAGATGTTATGTTGCATTGTGCATGAAGGAAATGATGGTGGGGAAACAGAAAATGAACCAGTTTAGGGTCCTGGCCTTCCCTGGCATCAGCTAATGTGGCCTAAGGATACACTTGGCTACTTCATTCCACACAAAATGTTGTTTTCTTTGCGTTATAGTACATTTCAATTTCAGATTCCCGCAGTCAGAATGTCGAAAACCAGTGCTAACCCTCCACTCCTTTGCAGAAACACCCTCTCGTCCTTGTCCTGCTCCGTGGTTTTGCTTGGGTGATGAACACATCTGTACCTGAAATAGCTTTAAGCTGTAGTAGCTGTAGGCAGAGGTGGTATTTCATTCATTGATTAGAGATAAGGCTTGGATTCTAGTGTTTTTTTTTTTTTTTTTTCGCATAAAAATTGTTCATGGTCTTTTGCATATGCTACTGGATAACTTTAAGAAAATAGTAAAATAGTGACTTTCATATAAACATACAGAACATACATCAAAGATTTATTTAACTTTTTAAGTAACGCGTGAGCCAGTGTGATGGTATAACTGGTTCAAAGGGAAATGAAAACAGATACACACAGACGTGCTGACCATCAGAAATATGGAAACCTATTTACAAATAGACGCCAAGTTAGTCACTATTCACAGGGCTATAATCAAAGACATCTCCACAAAACACAATTTTCTTTTGTATGAGCAAGAACCACTGCATTCGTATTCTACAACTTACGCCCTGGTATAATAATTTGAAGACCACCAAAGGCAGGGATCACCTGGAAGGGTGCCCTAGACATTATTTTTGCTCATTTCCAAGTCTTTGGTACTTTTCCTGACACTATGTTTTGAATGCTGCCCTTGGACTCATCTGTAATATTTCATATAAATCTTGCCAACAAAGTTAAAACACTTACATATTTCTACATCTAATTCATATGAAGTTAAGTGAGCTTAGCAGCAGAATAATTCTGTCTTACATAATTAATTTTATTGGTTAAAATCATAATTTTTACTTCATCAGTTGGATGCATTCAGAATTAATAGAAAACGCATCTACGCTGTAAGATCCAGTTTAAGATTTTCTACTCCAGCATGCACAGGAAACCCCAATAAAGTCATTAATAATGTCTAGTGGGGAAGCTTCGGGTCAGGGTCAGAGCTTTAATTTCCTTTCTTACCGGCTGCATGACCTTGAACAGTATTCCTCCTCCCTCACCCACTGGATTTTGGCATCTTCATCTGTAAAGCAGAGTGTTTAGTAACTCATGATTCTCTCAGCACAAAATTCAGTGATTGCCTTTTACATCTCCACAGTAGATTCTGAATCCTGACCATGTTCCTTAGCAAATGCTGCGCGGTGTCTCTCAAGGACCATCAGAGGAGCCTCCTAGGCCTGGTCCGGGGACCATTTGCATCCATGGCTCTGCAGGAGCTTTCTCTCTCTCGCCAAGTTCTCACCTTCACCTTTAGATATAATTTTTAGAAAGCGGTAAAGTAACTTCTCAATATATTCTTCTTTGAAAATGCCGAGAATAAAACAATGATCAGTGGACATTAGTTCTTTCGTTTAAGCAAAATGTGAAATGCCAACTAGCTCAGAAATAGGAGATGAACATAAACAGCCCCATCAGCTGTAAGCCACTCACTCCTAGCAAATCACCATTCTGATAAGCTTTCTAATGAGCAGAACCGTGTTTTCGAACATGAAACCTTCACCAGGCTTTATGTGAAGCACTTCAACGCTGTTATTGATGTTAAGCCCTCAGATTCGGTTGTTCCACTTTATAGAAGAGGAAACTGGCTTTCTGAGGGTTTTACAGACACACT